TAGTTATGAACTACCAATAAACAGAATACTTCTTATGAAGCGCTCTGTGGTGTGATCTGACTATCAAACTCTGACACATCGGTCACAACTTAGCAGAGTTTAGTGCACTTACACTGGCTGAAATCCAGGAGGTTAAGTGCGCCTAAATCTGCATTGGGTTGTGGTTCCTGGATGGAATCAGGCCACCTGCTTGGTCCACTGTTTTTGCTGTTGCAGTTACCAAGTGGAGGGAGTCCTGCTGTCAAAAGGGGTCTAGTGCCACGTTAAGGCTTTCAAAGTGGCCACTGAGAATAGGAACTGCTCAGTTTTGCATTAACTGGGTTTGAGGCATATAAATGATTCTAATGTTACATCTTAATTCTGGGTCTCATAAATGAGATTCAGGGATGGAGTGTTGCATTGAACATATCCCTGTACAGTCACTGGCATACAAGAGCCCTTAATCCATAATTGAACTTGGGAACCTCAGTTCTTGCATATAATCTGATTTTAGAGATAAAGTAAAAGGTTTTAAATGTAAAGAAGCAACTGAAATTTTGATATTTTTTGGCTTTTGTTAAATATTTGATCATTAACACTGGGTGTTTTCCCCTTCTTCTGCTAGATGCTTTTGTTAAATATTTGATCATTAACACTAGCTGGGTGTTTTTCCCCTTCTTCTACTAGATAAAAGACTACTTTGTATGAGTACTAAGGTTCCCTCTCAGCCACTGACAATCTTAGGACCAATTCCATTGAGAAAGCACCACACTCAGGCATGTGCAGAGAAAAGTGGTTTCCCCTCTCATGGTCAACAGGATCTTTTGATGAAGTCTTATTTCTAGGCCTGGGACCCAAATCTTCTCTTATAAGTCCCTGTGTGCCCATTACAGTCCTCTGTACTGTACTGGTGCTTCCCCCACTTAAATAGCCCACCTGGCATCAATTAGAGCCCATGTCTTCTCTACTGTAGTTTCCAGTTTGCGGGTCAGGTTCCCTGAGTAGGTTGGATGGGGGAGGCTGCCTTTAAGAATTCCAAGAGATCTCTGCAAGGCCATTTTATTTGCTAGGGGTTTTAATGGGGTACAGACCACAGGCATCTCTTTTATGGGGGTGGTGTCATTTGCAGTTTTGTATGCTTGAAATTGCAATGTTTTTAATTTTGATTTGGCCTTCAGCCTTCAGCCAGTAGGAAAGACAGGATATAACCATTTTGATAAATAAATAATACTTCAGTTGAGAAAAAGAACACATACATTCTGGAATGGCTTCTGTGATAGAGGGCAGATCAAAATTAAGATGTTGAACCAGCTAAGTTACAGCTGACCACACAGAGTATCAGAGAAAGCTTAACTATCCTGAGAAAGAATTGTCAGCGTATGAAACTGTAATCTCTGGGAGGAGTGAGAAGTCTCCTTGTGAGAGAAGTCTGGGGTTGGACACTGAACCAGCCAGAACACTTGATGCCAGTTAAGATACAGCTTAAGGCAATAACTGATTTTGAAGATATGTCTGCTCAACTCCTCACACTGATACTTGCTGATACGTGCTCTTTCCTCCAGTCCCAGATGGCAGAAAAGGTTGACATGTGTATCATTTTCACAATGTATTTTTTTTAAAAACACACACGCAGACACCTGGCACCAGACTCCAGTAATCTCTATTGTCCTGTCAGTCGATGTTGCTGTTGTAACTGCAGGAGCTGTGGTATAAAATATAACCATTGTTTATTTGGCCACCAAAAAATCCATTGGTTAAGACGCTGTTTCCATTCTGAAGTACATAGTATGAAGCTTGCTAACTTGAAACAGCCCTGGGAAGCACACATACTTATGAAGCTGCTTTACACATTCTTCCAGCTATGTTGGGGGGGGGGAGCACGGTTTACTCCAGTGCCCTCCCCAAAAAACACTGTACTCATGGGCACCATGATGCTTACTTGAATATTTCCTGGTACTCACTTGCTTCTTCCCAAAACCTCCTTTTCCCCAATGCCAACAGCCGGTCTTGGTTTTCCTCCACCTCACAGAAGCAGGAAGTGCTGCCTTCAGAAGACCCCAGGAGGCATTACCTTCAGGTCTGCAGGGAACTTCCATTTTGAAATAGCTGCCCATATAGAAGAAGAGATTGGATTTATACCCCGCCCTTCACCTGGAGTCTCAGAGCAGCTTACAAACTCCTTCCCTTCCCCTCCCCACAACATCTTTGAATTTCCCAGTCTTTCGTAATTGCTCCTTATGGCAGCCATTTTGTTATTGGTACTGCCAGCCATGGTAGCCATTTTGTCTTGGTGCCCACTAACATTTTTTAAAACTCCAACTGTGCCCATATAATCCACAAGGATGGAACCTATGGTCTACTCTGACTGGCTGCTGTCTGAGATCTTTAAACTGCAGGTTGAGTAGAGATCGAGTGGGTACATGAGCTGCTACTGAGTCAAGACCCTTCCAAAAGAACTCCTTCCCCAAGCATTCCCAGTGAAAAGGATCTCAGAGATCTTGGCTAGAAAGACCTATATATGAAATGCACAGTATCATGATCAGCCTTAAAACATTAGATGGACCAATGGTAAAGTTCAGTATAAGGCAGCTTCATATAGGAAGAGAATGTGGTCTCTTAGATTTAGCCACTGCCTTAGGCTGTAGGAAATCTGCTTCCTAAACTTCCTTATTCCACTGATTTGACTGATTGAAATTCTTAAGTATCTCTCTGTTCCCTGCCTGAAATATCTGAGCCTTTATAACAAGACAATATTTACTTATGCATTCTCTGAGCAAGAGCAGTAAATAAAACTGGGTTTCCTGTTTCTACTGGTGGAAATGGGTTATAATCTAGGGACCTTCTGCTGACAGAAGAAGATCTTTCCCTTTCTTCTCTTTCCCCGGCAGCATCCTGTGACCATGAAAAGACATTGCCAGTGGAAGAGAGGCCCTCACAGACAGAAAGCAATGCAGGTATCGGGGCTGCAACAGGAGGGGGTTCAGGAGAGAGATCCTTTTCTATCAGCACAACATCCGTAGGACCCAAAATGTTAGCTAACCAGGGTGTAAGTCCAACAAGATGTAAAATTATTTGGTTCTATTTTTCTTCAACCATGAATATGTGGTATAGTCTGCTTTGTCCCTTTCTTAACTCCATAATCAGCGTGGTTTGCAATTAAAAAAAAAACCCTCTCACCAGATAAATCCACCCCCAATCTGGTCACATGTAGAAGAGGAGAAGAAGAGATTGGATTTATCAGGGGTCATTTCGTAGAAAAAGAGCTAGGGGAACTCATTAGCATAGCTCATTAGCATATGCCACACCCCCTGGCATCACCGGAAGTGTGTCATAAGGCCACACACCCTGACATCACCGGAAGTGTGTCATAAGGCCACACACCCCACCCCCAACGGTCCCGGACACCGCCGCCGGCCTTGCAGCTCCACTGCCG